CGGCTCAGAGACATGCCCGAGTTAACAAGTAGCGTTTACGGACGGTGACTTTGTTTGGAAATATACTCTCAAGTACATCAATTTATCATTTATATCATTGTGCAAAACAGTCAATATTTCATGACATAAACCAATCTTGACTAAACAGTTCTTTAGTCCAACAGTTTTATAAATAAACAATATAGTTTGCATAACTTCATGTTTTTCCCCCAATTTAAATAAACAAAAAACATTAAAAGTGGGGACCGTGAATACTCACAAGTTTCCTGATAAATATCCAAGAACTTGATGACGTTTGAAGCGCTAAACGTCCGCCCTAACCTTCCTAAACAGTCCGAAATCCAATAATTAGATCACCTAACGGGTTTCGATAAAGATAAAGTCAAATTATATCTTATGTAATGCCAATGAGTTTTTATGAATTAAAGCTGATACTTATATCCTTTGCTTTAAAAATAGTCCAAAAATTATTCAAAAAAAATCAAAGTCCTTTGCACATAAAGCTGCCATTTGGACAGAATGTAAATTCTGTTTCTGGAATTTTTGGTCTCACAAATCACCGTCAAAAGGAACCTTCCATAAGTTATTTTGTGTCCAAATTTTTATATCATCATTAATAATGAGTTAAACAGATTTTTCCCAAATATCAAGAATTTTGGATGGTTTTAAGGCACTCATCATTACCCTACCACTTTGAGTGTCATAGTCCCCAAGACAGATTGCACACTCTTCTAGTGACAGCCATTTGGGGGGTCTAAACTCATCATTTTTCAATGATTTTTACTTTATTTTAAAGTTAACACATAAGGCTAACTTCCAGAAAAAGAATCACTCATTTTCATTGAGTTTTGAAGGAGATAAGACCATTTTAAAATGCAGGCAAGATTCTGACAGCAATGCTCTTTTTGCACCATAATCTTGTATCAATAACTTGAAGGCTCAAAACATAATATTTTTGAGTGAGACCAGTTGCATTAGAAAGATAACTCATTAAAATAAGTTCTAGAAGAAAAATAAACCATTTTGGAGGAATAACCAGAGAGATATGGTCGTCCAAAGTAGGTTTTACCTACTGTCAAGTGTGTTGTTGCACACTTATTTTGTTTTAAACACTAGAAGGTTCAAAACTCACTCTTTTTATGGACAAAAACCCACATGCAAGCACTTTTACCAACTTTTCTTGAGTTCTAATGTTTGTAGGTCATAGACTATCATCATTTTGATGTAGGTCATAGATTATCATCATTTTGAGGACATTTTCATATCATTGATGTATAATCTCTCATCTTAGATTCTCTAGAAAGTTTGTTTATAAAAAAGAGAAAGAAGAAAAGTGTAGAAGATGAGAAATCATGCCGAAAAATAAGGATAATGTAACTAGTCCATTACCTTTGCTTGCTACTTCTTGAAGTGTTGAATGTTCTTCAAGATGATGGAATTTGAAGGGTTTTGGGGAGTGATATCGGGTTGAGTGGAAGAGGAAATGAAGATTTCAAAATAAATGGGCTTTTTATATGTGTTTTAAATGTGAATAAAAAGGTCGGCCTCTTAAGGCCCAAGTCCATAACAATAAAATTTTTATTTTTCTTTTAAACAAAATAAGGCTCATTTAAATTATAACAAAAAGATATATAAAAAATATCATTATTAAATCAAAGTTCCACATTTTTGGTAAAATTATTTGGGCATTTAAATGAGACTTTTATATTTTAACTTGGACTTTATAATATCAACTTTATTATATTTGGAGAATTTTTAATGTATTTGGCATTACATAAGTTAACTTTACCAGTTACCCGTCAAAACAAGGTTTTCTGAACTATATTTTGGGAACTAAGCCAGATGAATTATAATCAACATGACTAGATCATAATAATATATAATTCTAAATATAGAAACCCTATAAAAATGTTAACCTAACACTCCAAAAATGACGGATGTCACACTTAAGTTTTATATATCCTATAATAATTCCTAAACTTGATTTTTTAATGAATAATATATCAGTTTATATATAAATCAACTAAAAACTAAAAAAATATTAATTTGATATAAGTATCAAATTGAAATAATAAAATACAAAAAAATTATTATTTATTTAAAATATTAATTATATTTAGATAGTTTATTTTTAAAAATAAAGGACTTTTCTTAATCTTATGACTGTTTGACAGTTGTTGAATGGTTTGGTGTAGAATGATTAAGTGGTCAAAATGATTAAAAGATTCTCATGATATAGTGCAAAATAAAATATTGTTGTTCGGTAATTGTTTACAATGGAATTAGGGCGTTGAATGATTAAGGGAGATCCATGATGCAAAATCATTTAGAGGATTTTAGAACCATTAAAGTGCAGACTTTTTTTTTGCCAAACAAAATTCATTTCTTAACAATTCAGATGCTGTCTCTTAATAAAACTATTAAGAGGTAAACAAATAACTCTTTAATTAAAAAGAAGAGAAAGTATTTTTGCTTTTATTAGATTTCTAAAACCTGATGTGTCAATTTGCAAAAGGTATAAATATCTGAGAAATTCTTTAAACTTAAACTTTTACTGTAACAAAATGACAAATTAAAAATATTGAAAAAATTGAATTTCTTTTTGTATATTATTTATTTATACATTGTATTCTTACAAAATCAATAATTTTTAGAAGGGAAAAGTTTAAAAAAAATCCAATGCATTTTAGTGTTGGGAATGATTAAGTTCTTAGACAACTTTTTGGAACAAATAAGTCATTGGACATTTCAAAACTTGTTAACTAACTTCTTGGACGTTCTAAAACATGTTAGATACATCCTTATGGTCTATAAAACTGGTTAATATAGTAAAATAATAAAAAAAATTCTAAAAAAGACAATGAACTTTTATATTTTGAACGATTAAGTCCATAAACATTTTTGAAACAAAAAAAGTACTTACATTTATAAAATTAAACAAATATACCAAAAAATTATTTACATTTACAAAAACTGGTTAATATGGAAAAACAATGGAATATGAAAGTTTATTGTCCCCTTTTTGAGACTTTTTTCATTATTTTTTCACATTAAACAGTTTTTGTAAATGTAAGTATTGTTTTGGTATATTTGTTTTATTTTATATATTTAAGTATTTTTTGATTCAAAAAATGTTTGGAAACTTAATCATTCAGAAAATGAAAGTTCATTGGCTTTTTTAGACTTTTTCAATTATTTTACCATATTAACCAGTTTTATAAGTCATAAGAATGTATCTAACCAGTTTTATAAGTTATAAGAATGTATCTAACAAGTATTAGAAAGTTCAAGAAGTTATTTAACAAGTTTTGAAATATCTAAAAACTTATTTGTTCTAAAAAATTATCCAATGACTTAATCATTACAAACACTAAAATCCATTCGATTTTTTTAAACTTTTCCCAAAAAGATAAACTTTTTATCAAATACATAAAAAAATCTTTAAACTTACGGAATTGAAACCGATGGTGTGGACTGATGATACATGGCCCCATGAGCAACACACATGACGTGAAGATATTTTGTTGGAACTAAAAATATTTACTTTAAGGTTGATTTTTATTTTAATAATATTATATTAACTAGAAGGGTACTCGCACAATGCAGCGAGATATATTTCGATTTTAATGTTTCGTTTTTTCTTTTGTCTCGGTCGATGTTACAATATGGTTTTATGTGGTTTTGAGAAAGCGATAATATTTTTATTTTTAAATAAAATACAAATATGAAGATATCATAAAGAATTGAAAAAAATTATTGATATTAGTACAAAACTAACTGTTTAAAAAAAATTTGTGTATTTTTTTTAATTCATTTCTTTATATATATTTTTATAAAAATAATTATTAGGTATTTTATTAGAACTCGATAATTATCATAATTATATTTTATATTTTATATTTAAAGTGAGATGTTTATCCTCTAGATTATGTTTATCTACAGTTAGTTACACGAATTCAAACATGAAACTTTAATAAGCTACACTTACGCATAATTTACTTGTAATCTTGAGTTTTAAGTAATATGCATCAATAAACAGTACTTCATGCATAAAAAATGGTTTTAAGAGTTCTTATCAAATGTTTTATAATATAGTATAGATATACAAATATTCATCATTAGCGCAAAAGGGTTTATAATTTGCAATCCTAAACCAACACACTTCGATTTGTCTTTTTAAAAGTATTATGTGTCTGACAAATCAGATACAAATCAGTTAAGTGATCTGTTTAAATGTCCAATTTTAACCTTATCTGTTTATACAAGTATACCACTTCAAAATTCTTGTTTCATGTTAGACTCAATCAATTAAAAATGTCTATTTTAATACATAAATGCTAACGAAACACTAATGTGGCACAATGTGTTTTTGAGGGTATTGGATATTTAGGTTTGCTTATTTGAAACAATTTATGTTTTTTTACATAAATGTTTATCAACTTATTATAAGTTAGAATTGTTTAACTTCTTCAAAAACATCTTATTATCGATTTGACACCGATATAAGCTGTTTATCTAAACACCCAAAAATACTTGTTATCAATATCGCATCAGAATAAGTCAATAAATTATTTTTATAGGCAACCTCAAACACCCACTTAAAACAATCATTTTTTGATACCTAAAATAAATGTTATTAAAATTAAACTACAAAACTTTAGACGTAATAATTAGAACCATACAATAGAAATGGCATAAATCCTTCGTCATCCACACTCCCAAACACTACCGTCTTCCAAGTAACCTTGATTTCGAGAATCCCAAACAACCAATCACAACCCACCAAAAGTCATCTTCATAACCCATTCTCAGATAGACTCATGATTTCATTTCTCTCTCACATACTAAAAACACACACACTCTCATGCACCACACCACCAGTAGCTCCCATTTCCTACGTGTCTTTTCCTCACACCATTAAGTCTGCAACTCTGGTATTCTCTGTAAATATATGTATATATATCTTCTGAAACCCACACAGAAACAGAGAGGAGGGTATTTCAAAGCATTGCCCATTAGCTAAAAGAGGTAGATTCATACAATCATCCCGTTTCAATTTGCTCCAATTTTCAAGAATATAGTGGAAATTTTCTTGAATTCCAAATAGCTTTGCTACGTGTATAAATGGCGTCTTTGGTTTCAACACCATTTAGATTGCCCACAACCAAAGTTGATCAGTTGTCTTCAATTTCTCAAAAACACTACTTTCTCCACTCGTTTCTGCCAAAAAAATCGGTTCATTCAAGAACACCCAGTTTGGGTGTGAAATGTGCTGTTGTTGGCAACGGCCTTTTCACCCAAACCACACAGGAAGTTCGTAGGATCGTACCTGAAAACAAGCAGGGCCTCCCGACTGTTAAGATAGTGTATGTTGTCTTAGAAGCCCAGTACCAATCATCACTCTCGGCTGCGGTTAGAACCTTGAATAGTAGCAACAAGTTTGCTTCCTATGAAGTTGTCGGGTACCTGGTTGAAGAGCTTAGAGATGTGAATAACTACAACAGCTTCTGTGCAGACCTTGAAGATGCAAATATCTTTATTGGGTCTTTGATTTTTGTGGAAGAATTGGCTTTGAAAGTGAAAGCTGCAGTGGAGAAACAGAGGGACAGAATGGATGCAGTCCTGGTGTTCCCTTCAATGCCTGAGGTTATGAGGTTGAACAAATTGGGATCATTTAGCATGTCTCAACTTGGTCAATCTAAAAGCCCCTTTTTCCAGCTTTTTAAGAACAAGAAGAAGTCATCAGCTGGCTTTTCTGATCAGATGTTGAAGTTGGTGAGGACTTTGCCCAAGGTTTTGAAGTACTTGCCTAGTGATAAAGCTCAAGATGCTAGGCTTTATATACTGAGTCTGCAGTTTTGGCTTGGTGGGTCTCCTGACAATTTGGTCAATTTTGTCAAAATGATTTCGGGATCTTACGTTCCAGCTTTGAAAGGGATGAAGATTGCGTATTCGGATCCGGTTGTGTTCTTGGACACAGGTATCTGGCACCCTTTGGCTCCTTGCATGTACGATGATGTGAAGGAGTACTTGAATTGGTATGATACAAGGAGGGATACCAATGAGAAACTAAAGAATCCAAATGCTCCTGTAGTTGGATTGGTTTTGCAAAGGAGTCATATTGTGACTGGAGATGACAGCCATTATGTGGCTGTGATCATGGAATTGGAGGCAAAGGGGGCGAAGGTGATCCCAATTTTCGCAGGTGGGCTTGACTTCTCCGGTCCTATTGAGAAGTACTTGATTGACCCGATCACTAAGAAGACTTTTGTGAACTCTGTGGTGTCGTTAACTGGGTTTGCACTCGTGGGAGGGCCAGCAAAGCAAGATCATCCAAGAGCTATCGAGGTGCTGATGAAGCTGGATGTACCATACATTGTTGCACTGCCGCTGGTGTTCCAGACAACCGAGGAGTGGCTTAACAGCACTTTGGGGCTTCACCCAATTCAGGTTGCTTTGCAGGTTGCTCTTCCAGAGCTTGATGGAGGAATGGAGCCTATTATTTTCTCTGGACGTGACCCAAGGACCGGTAATTTACTCCTCATTTTCGTTCTAAAAACTTCATATTGATTCTAAGCTTAAGTAGATCCTAAATAGCCATGGCTTTGTAGATAGAATTTCAGAAGTCCATGTTCTAGGACAAGTAGTTTAATAATCTGATTTTTGCAGGAAAATCTCATGCTCTTCACAAGAGGGTGGAGCAGCTGTGCACTAGAGCAGTCAGATGGGCAGAACTGAAGAGGAAGGCAAAGGTACTTTCTTTTACGAATAACAGATGAGAGAAGTACGAATGAACTTGTGTACATTTCTTGATTTTTGATGAAATGGAGGAAAATAATAGAAATTTTGGATACAAACTTGCAGACCGAGAAGAGGGTAGCAATTACAGTTTTTAGTTTCCCTCCGGACAAAGGCAATGTTGGAACTGCGGCTTACCTCAATGTGTTTGCATCTATTTTCTCTGTGCTAAAAGACCTCGAAAGTGATGGTTATAATGTGGAAGGCCTTCCAGAGAGTTCAGCAGCGTTGATTGAAGACATTCTTCACGACAAAGAGGCTCAGTTCAGCAGTCCTAATCTAAACGTTGCTTACAAGATGGGGGTGAGAGAGTACCAACAGTTAACCCCGTATGCCACAGCGTTGGAAGAGAACTGGGGAAAGCCTCCAGGGAACTTGAACTCTGATGGAGAGAATCTATTGGTTTATGGAAAACAATATGGAAATGTGTTCATTGGAGTCCAGCCCACATTTGGGTATGAGGGTGATCCTATGAGACTACTTTTCTCCAAATCAGCCAGCCCACATCATGGATTTGCAGCTTATTACTCATACGTTGAGAAGATCTTCAAAGCCGATGCGGTTCTTCATTTCGGAACCCATGGATCTCTAGAGTTCATGCCTGGGAAACAGGTTGGAATGAGTGATGCTTGTTTCCCTGACAGTCTTATCGGCAACATTCCGAACGTCTACTATTATGCAGCAAATAATCCTTCAGAAGCCACCATAGCCAAGAGAAGAAGCTATGCCAATACCATAAGTTACTTGACTCCACCTGCTGAAAATGCTGGTCTTTACAAGGGTTTGAAGCAGCTGAGTGAATTGATTTCATCCTATCAGTCCCTGAAAGACACAGGTCGTGGTCAACAGATCGTGAGCTCAATCATTAGTACCGCTAAGCAATGCAATCTTGACAAAGATGTGGACCTCCCTGAAGAAGGTGTGGAGATTTCAAGCAAGGAACGCGATCTTGTTGTGGGAAAGGTCTACTCCAAGATCATGGAGATTGAGTCCAGACTGTTGCCATGTGGGCTTCATGTCATCGGTGAGCCGCCCACAGCCATGGAGGCTGTTGCTACCTTGGTCAACATTGCAGCCTTGGACCGCCCGGAAGAAGGGATCTGCTCCCTTCCATCAATACTTGCCGAGACGGTTGGCAGAGAGATCGAAGATGTTTACAGAAGCAGCGATAAGGGAATCTTGAAAGATGTGGAGTTGTTGAAGCAAATCACAGATGTATCTCGTGGGGCTGTTGATGCTTTCGTGCAGCGGAGCACCAACAGCAAGGGTCAAGTGGTTGATGTGGCCGGAAAACTGAGCTCAATCCTTGGGTTCGGTATCAATGAGCCTTGGATTCAGTATTTGTCTGAAACCAAGTTCTACAGAGCGGATAGGGAGAAGCTAAGGATTTTATTCCAGTTCTTGGGTGATTGCTTGAAACTCATTGTGGCTGACAACGAGTTGGGTAGCTTGAAACAAGCTTTAGAGGGTAAGTACGTAGAGCCAGGTCCAGGAGGAGATCCAATCCGAAACCCAAAAGTTTTACCCACCGGAAAGAACATTCATGCATTAGATCCACAAGCAATCCCGACAACAGCAGCAATGCAAAGCGCAATGATCGTGGTGGACAGGCTGCTCGAGAGGCAGAAGGCTGATAATGGAGGGAAGTTCCCGGAGACAGTTGCACTGGTCTTGTGGGGCACAGACAATATCAAGACTTATGGTGAGTCCCTGGGTCAGGTACTATGGATGATTGGTTGTAGGCCGATTGCAGATTCATTAGGGCGAGTCAACCGGGTTGAGCCTGTCAGTCTTGAAGAGCTCGGAAGGCCTAGAATCGATGTTGTTGTCAATTGCTCTGGAGTCTTTAGGGATCTCTTTATTAATCAGGTATAACAAACGATTTAATTTGAATCCATATATTTTTCAAGGTTTATCTAATGCTAATTGTTTCTTACAGATGAACCTCCTGGACCGAGCGGTGAAGATGGTGGCCGAGCTTGATGAACCAGTGGAGCAAAACTACGTAAGAAAGCATGCACTTGAGCAGGCCGAGACTCTTGGTGTCGATATTAGAGAAGCTGCAACTCGTATTTTCTCCAATGCCTCGGGCTCCTACTCCTCCAATGTGAACCTTGCTGTCGAAAACTCATCATGGAACGACGAAAAGCAGCTTCAAGACATGTATTTGAGCCGAAAGTCGTTTGCATTCGACAGTGACACTCCTGGTGCTGGAATGAGTGAGAAACGCCAAGTCTTCGAGATGGCATTAAGTACAGCTGAAGCAACGTTCCAAAACCTCGACTCATCGGAGATTTCCCTAACGGATGTGAGTCATTACTTTGATTCAGACCCAACAAACCTTGTCGGAAGCCTAAGGAAGGATGGGAAGAAACCGAATGCCTACATTGCAGACACAACCACAGCTAACGCACAGGTACGTACCCTCTCGGAGACCGTCCGTCTTGACGCACGTACAAAGTTGTTGAACCCAAAATGGTACGAAGGCATGCTCTCAAGCGGCTACGAGGGTGTTCGTGAGATCGAAAAACGGCTTACGAATACTGTCGGGTGGAGTGCAACCTCAGGGCAAGTGGACAATTGGGTGTATGAAGAGGCTAACACAACCTTCATCCAAGATGAGGAGATGTTGAACAGGCTGATGAACACAAACCCCAACTCGTTCAGGAAGTTGCTGCAGACATTCTTGGAGGCGAATGGTCGAGGGTACTGGGAAACATCGGATGATAACATCGAGAAGTTGAGGCAGTTGTACTCGGAGGTTGAAGACAAGATCGAGGGGATCGATCGTTAATTATGTGATATAACCTTGTCATTTGTTTCCCTTCCCCAAACTGTAATTTTTTTTGTTCATTCATGGGGACTCTCAATGTATTCTGTAGCTTGCAAGACTCTGATTCACCAAAGTTTAATGTCATGTTAATAAATTTCACATGCAGTCATCAAGTTTAAGGCATGCCAAAGGGCCATATAACCTCTATGTTAGATCAACAAGGTTTCTCTTAGACATTTTCCCAAACAGCTTGCATGCACGCTTGTTGCACTTGCACATGCCACATGCATGAACCAAACCATTCCAATCACACATGAAATACGAACAGCCCTTAACGGCAACAACCACATGTTGTGTGGCAATGAACGGTCGGTTTATGCAACACCAAACTACACCCAAGATTTTTTCACCATTATATGAGTTTTTGTTCATCTCAATAGTAGTAACCAGTGGAAGCAAGTTGTAAAATTCTTACTTTACATGCCAATAATCGCAACAATAAAGTATACAATTATACATGTAAATTCGGCTGGTGGTACCTTCTGATAAGTTATGTTACCAAATTATAACTGAAGTAAATGGTTAACTTGGGACAAAAAACCGACATTCATAAACAGCTCCACCGTAGTTTTTAGCGGGAATAATGGTTTTAGTTGACAGTTTTTGCTATGATCAGAGGAGAAGGCAGGAGATCGGTTGTAACCATCAGACATGCCAATGAACAAGGGTACAAACTCGGCGAAAATGCAGAAGATATGCCCGTGGACAGAGGCAGATATCAAAGGTTGGTAGGCAGATTAATCTACTTATCACACACACACGTGGATATAGCTTATGCAGTAAGCATAGTTAGTCAATACATGCATGTGCCAAGGAACTCTTAAAGGCTGTTTCCAAAATCTTAAGATACTTGAAAGGTACACCCCGAAAAGGGATTCTCTACAAAAAAGGTGCGACACTTAGTCTTGAGGCTTACACTATGCAAATTGGGCAGGGTCAGTGTTGGACAGTCGATCAACCTCGGGACTCTGCACTTTTTTAGGAGGGAACATTGTCTCCTGGAGAAGCAAAAACAGCCGGTAGTAGCAAGGTCAAGTGCTGAAGCTGAACTTCGTGCTATGGCCGTTAGGAGTATGTGAACTTTTATGGGTAAATATTGTCCTTGGTGACTTGAGAATTGATTGGAAAGGAACCATGAAGTTGTACTGTGACAACAAATCAGCCATTAACATAGCCCATAACCCAGTCCAACACGATCATACGAAACATGTGGAGATAGATCATCATTTTATAAAGGAGAAATTGGAGTGGCATGTTATGTATGCCATATGTACCATCAAAAGAGCAATTGGCTGATGTTGTTACCAAAGGATTATCCCATAAGCAAAGGGTGGTGTATCATAATGGTGATGGTCAAAAAATCAGGGCCTTTGGTTCAAGATGGTGGAGCTAGTAGTTTGTGTTCTAAAGGCATAGGTGGAGTTCAAGGGTGCTTTGAAATTTGTTGATAAAGGCAAGAATGTGCAAGGAAGTGTACCTTTTGTCAAGATGGAGTATGAATATGAGTAGAATGATGGGGTGAAAAAGAAAAGGGATTCAAATTAATTAGAATGCTAATGTGATTAAGTCATAAGAATAGGGCATCTACCAAATAGTACCCATATAGTGAAGATAAGAGTATTATTGGTGTCTTCACTACTGAAACAGACTGGCTTTTTGAATCTGTTTTAGTAATGATTTTCTTTTGTTGGGATGTTTCGTATGGCTTATGGTGTCTGAATCTACTTAGTCTCAATGTTGGTTTGTTGAGAGGGCTGCAACAGATAGAGTTTCTGTTTCCATTTCAGACCTGGATGAATCGGTTTGTGTTGTATGGATTCATGCTTCAAATATTGTTTCAGGTTTAGGGTTGGGTTCCGGTGAGAAGGGAAATTATGGTGAAAAGCCGAAGAAGAGATCTCCACCCTTTGGATCGATCGTAACTGAATGTCCACACTAATGAGGTGCACCAAGGTGCATCGGATCATTTCCCTTCTAAAGCGCAATTCATGGGTGGACATGAGATTAAAAGTGATCAAGGGTTCAGATTTCTTCTTATGCTTCTCACCATAACTTCCATTCTCACACGATCCTTCACCTTCAGGTGTATTTTTCTATGGGGAGTGTAAGTCTTTGTCCTTGGTTCTGCATTTGGGTCAGGTCAGATTATTCAATGGAGGATAAGGGTGATGAGCAGTAGGTGGTTTTTGTAGTGCGTGTTTTGTTTATCTGGTCTGCACTTACATCTGCTGTTTTGGTCTTCTTTCTTGTTATGGCTTTTTTCTTTTCTCATGGTTGCTGTTTGTTAACCATGGTTTGGATGTTCCATATGGGAGAAATAAGATTTGTTCAGCAGATGGTTTGTTGGATGGTTCAGAGCCTGGGCAGATGCTGGTTTCATGGTTGAATGGTGGTATCAAAACAGATTCTGTTTATATATATATATATATATATTATATATATATCCCAAAATGGGCTGCTGTTGAAATTTTTGATTATGAATGCTTCTTTGCTGTTTTGGTTGGATGAGATTGTATATTTTGTCTCTGTCGAGATGAGGATGGTGCATGCAGTTGCTGATCATCCTTAGGTCTTTTTCTGTCTTTTAATGGAATAAGGACAGTATAAGGCCTGATATGTTTCTTGATTTGGAGGTCATCTCTTTTTGGTTTTTTCCCTGGGATTGGATGGATTCATATCAGATTATGCTCCCAATTTTGCTGCTGTATTATATAAGATGTAAGGAGAATATGGAACACTTTGATCCGTATATTAGCTGCTGTTTGGGACTGTTATGGTCTTAATCTTGCTGGTTCGGCCTTTTTCATATATGGTTTATCTAAAGTTGCTTTTGGTTGGATCATATGGCGTTTTCGGGTTCCGAGCTGTCATTTAATTTTGGGTGGAACAGGTCTTATAAGCATAGGGGCTGTTGGTTGCTGCTATGGTATGTTTGTACAATCTTATACCAATTGAGAATGGTGGTTGTATGTTCAACGGTTTCTGCTGTTTTTTTCTTGGAATCCATATCTTCCGCGTCTGTGTGTATGATCAGATCAGATATGATCATGGGCTGTTTCTAACTGCCAATGCCAATGTTTGTAATAGGATTGAGCTTTTGGGGTTCTTATTGTTGCTGATATTTGGACCAAGATTATTTACTAGGGACCTCTTACGGTTGCTGTCAATGAGATTACTATTTTGGAGTTTGGCGTTGGATCGGCTAATTGGATTAAGATTAATTTGGATCGGGCTAGCAATATGGTTGATTTAGTTAATACCAAATTCTTGAAGAAGCATATTTTTCCAATCTTTAATTTGTATAAGGGTTTTTTGTTTCATGATAGTGGGGTGTATAGAAATGATAAGGGGTATAGAAGGGTTTCTTTGTTAGAGCTCTTTCCTAAGCATATTCAAGGAAGGCATTTCCTGTTTTCTTTTTGTTGAGTTGGCCCTTGTTCTGTTGGGATTGCTTATTTGAAACAACTTATGTTTTTCTATAAAAGTCCTTATCAACTTATTACAAGTTAGAATGGTTTAACTTCTTCAAAAACTCCTTATTACCGGTTTGACACCAATATAAGCTATTCATCCAAATACTCAAAAGTGCTTATTACCGATGTCACACCAGAATAAGTCAATAAGTTGTTTTTATAAGCAATCTCAAACACCCCCAAAGTTTTTCCAGGGTTTTTCCAGCCTTCAACAAATATGACCACATGCCTAAGATTTTCATTAACAAATGAGCTCTTGTTCCTCACAAGAGGAGAAACCAGTGGGAAGCAAGTAGTTAATTTCTTACTTGGCTTACCAATAATCATTACGAGAACAAGATCTGTTCGAACCAAACCCATTAATAAAAGATTTCCCAGCAACAAGGTTTCTCTCAGACATTTCCTCAAACAGTTCATCTGCACTACAGGAACTACTGTCAACGGTTAGTTCAAACTACATCTACGAGTATGATCAATAAATGAACATCTTATGTTCTTCACACACGAGGAGCTAATTAACTAGTGGGAAACAAGTTGTAGATTTTTACTTCAATTGTATGAATACCAATGTACAAATTACGCTGGCTTAAACAACCTGTACTAAATTCAGGAAGAAACTGAAACAAGAAACAGTACTAGGGACATGAGATTTTTACTTTTCTTTTCCACCTCCTTCCACCCTATAAATTTTACACAAAACCTCCAACAGCAAGAATCACGTTCATCTATGGAAAAAATGGTACAAAAAGTGCAGCCAAAGGTATAACAGTCTTTCAAACCAACTCCATTAATAGAGGGTCACCTGCTGCCATTATTCTGATAAGCTTTATGAATTCTTGCTCACTTGACACCCTCCATGGATGAACTGCAGGTGCTTCAGGAGAATAATAACTCAAACTAGTATTTGAAGGTGGTTCTTGCTTATATACCATTGTACTAAACACAGAGTCGAAATTCTCACTGGAGTCCATTGCAAGAAAGAACATGGGAATAGCAACCTTTTGATGGATGTCGAGATTTCCCACAAGATTTACAAGGTCTTTAAAGTCATTCACAAGCCTCCGCGGAACATAGAACACCTCGGAATCGCAAATTGTCAGGCTTGACTCATGGCTCGTCATATATTTCTTGTAACTGACTTGGAAATGAACGGGCATCGAGCTCACCACTTTCTTAACCATTTCTCCTTGTTTTCCATACCAATCTTTGTCCCCATTGAATGAAACAGTGCTCCAAGATTTTAACACCTACAAAGGTGGACAGAAAGAAGAAATTGTTGAGGTAAAACTCCCAAAATTCATTTGATTTGTAGTGTTTTCTTGTTGGTATTTAAATTAACGGTGAAGCTATAAAAATGACAAACTATTCATTGCTTCTCTGCTGAACAAGATGTGAACTTTTAATGTATTTTAGCTATTGAATAATTTTGGTCAAGAACAACCATCAGTATCTCAACTATACTACCACCACTTATCCTTCTAACCGTCCATTGTTTAGATTGAGGTTGCCATACGAAACACGAGGCATCTGTAATTTAATAGGATATATAAATTATAATTTTAATAATCGCTAGTTAGATTTGGTTTTCTCTAAATAGGGCATGTTAAAGTCTAATTAGGTGGGGCTTGATAAACTCGAATCAATAACTGTTGAATGAATAATCATTAAGAGGTAAGTTGAACCATATCACAATTTCCAGGTTTAGCACATATTTCCCCACAGATTTTTTCCGCAAGTGGAAATGTCTGCATGCATCCTACCCAGGCCCTACTTCCAAGTGGGATATACTACCAGGTACGTTTCGCTTGATTTTTAGGTAAGTTGAACCATAAAGACCCATACAGATGGAAAACAGTGGTCTTAGTGAATTATTTGAAACATGAATTTAATGGAATTCAAGGTTTTCAATCGGGAAAATTGCAACAAAATGGAACCAACTTTCACCAACTATTTTGGGGAACCAACTTTCAAAATCGTCATTTTGGGGAACCAACTTGCACCTGATTCCTATTTTRGRGAACCAACTTTCAAAATCGTCATTTTGGGGAACCAACTTGCACCTGATTCCTATTTTGGAGAACCAACTTTCAAAATCGTTATTTTGGAGAACCAACTTGCACCTGATTCCTATTTTGGGGAACCAACTTKCAAAATCGTCATTTTRRKGAACCAACTTGCACCTGATTCCTATTTTGGGGAACCAACTTGCAAAATAATTATAAAAAAATAACTAAAATTCGTTTTTTTCCAAAACTTAATGCAATAAAATCTATTTTTCATTTCAAATCTCGTTTTTTTTAATTCAGATATCAAATTGAACATTTTAAAAAAAAAATCCAAATTACCACAGTAAAAATTGTTTTTTACTAATGCAAAAAAAATCAATTTAATAGAAAAAAATTAATTGATGTATTTGATTAGATATAAAAATTTTGAATGTGATATTTAATATTTATTTTTTATTGCATCAATTAATTTTTTTCTATTAAATTGATTTTTTTTGCATTAGTAAAAAATAATTTTTATTATAGTAATTTGGATTTTTTTTTTTAAATGTTCAATTTGATATCTGAATTAAAAAAAAACGAGATTTGAAATGAAAAATAGATTTTATTGTATTAATTTTTGGAAAAAAACGAATTTTAGTTATTTTTCTATAATTATTTTGCAAGTTGGTTCCCCAAAATAGAAATCATGTGCAAATTGGTTCCCCAAAATGACGATTTTGAAAGTTAGTTCCCCAAAATAGGAATCAGGTGCAAGTTGATTCCCCAAAATGACGATTTTGAAAGTTGGTTCTTCAAAATAGGAATTAGGTGAAAGTTGGTTCCATTTTGGTGCAATTTTCCCTTTTCAATCAAAGCTAGTTTAAAATTTTAATTTTTTAGTATAATCACAAATGAGATTTTCTTTTATTAAAATGCAAATATCAAAATAGTACTTGATCTTTTTCTAATATTTGTATATAATCTTAGAAGAGAAAGTATGCAACAACCATCAATATCACCATCAAACCCAGGGATGTGGCTTAGCGGCATTTGATTGGTTAATTGATTACCCATGAAGCATCAAGTCTTAAGATTAAATCTATGTAGGTGTTATCAATACATAAGTCATGGCCGTCCCAGAAAGCTTAAAGTTTGTCTGTCCATGTGGAGGGAACGTTTTGCATTCACCTCGTGAACTAGTTGAATCCAAGGTGTCCGATATCACTATTACCAAAAATACTCACCATAATTTGTTCAGAAGAGAGATAGCATGATTATGAAGACCGAGAATGATGAATTTTAGGAATTGTGATGAGTTCAAACATATGAATTTTATCTCATTTTTTATGTTAAATTTTTGGGCACTCATCGTGCTTGATTAGGTACTAGGCCACACACCATCATGATTGATTAGGCAACAAGCAATGAGTATACAAGCGGGAATTACAAGAAAAGAAAAGTGGTGGAGGACCGAAGAAACAGTACCTTGTCTGTTATCCAGAGCTTAGTCTTATCTGCTTGGACCAAGTTCCAGTAATTAAGAACTGTATCGTCCTGTAGAAACAAAAATCCTTCTGCACTTGTAAACCTATTGAACAATTTTGGAAGATGCCTGCCATCATAAAAAGAAAACTTTAATCAAAAAATGGAAATATTAACTGTCACATTAATAAATATGTGAAAAGGATGTCTCAACAAATCTTCAATTAGAAATGAATGCACCAAGACAACCACTTAGAATATGACGGATTGCTAGAAATTGAGATCACACCTACCAATGAGGCCTAGGATCACAACAAACAAGTTTTGACTTAATCAAGCATATGCTTGAATTCGACAACCCTTCGAACACTTACGCAGGTATTGTTGTAATATATTACAGTAGGCATACTAAATGGAACTAGCAATGTGTTTAGTTATGGATTTTGAAGATCAAAAAGACCATCTTCTCAATCTAATTCCCATATGTTCAACAATATTCTTAAGGTTTTGAAGACACTTTGAAAACTGATTGGAACTTCAATGTAAGTTATCATGTTTGAATAAGATTTCTCTTGAAATTTCATATATATACACACACACACACATCAAAAGAAAGATCCTAAAGTTGGCCGTATCAACCTTCAAGCCATATACTTAACAACACAAGGCCAGTATGATAAGCTTGTCGACTGATGGTAACAGGTATGCGAAAATATGCCATATTATGGGTTTGTTGGACTACATATTATAGCTGCCGACTGACTTCCCCTCCTTTCTCTCTTTTTAGTCTGTCTCTTAATGATTTTACGTTACTTAAACCGGAATACAAGAGAACACTACAAAAATGGTGACTTTCTACTCCAAGAGAAAACTATGTAAAACAAGTACACAAAGTAAAGGGTATTGTTGAAATATATGACTTACTTGTATTGGTGGTCCAAGTGGCCTTCTTCGACAGCAAGCTCAGCATTCTTCTTCTCTGACAAGATAACAACAGCCTTGAATATCCGTCCATACAGCAATCTCCATTCAAGAGCTGTGCGTTCAACGGGTCCATTACAGAACATTATAAGCACAATATTCCCAAAATTCTTTCTCCACCTAATTAAATTCCCTATCTCATAATTGACTGTTCCTGTTTCCTCAACCCCAAGATGAACAGATGGTAGCTTTTGAGGTACAAAATCCTTTCGATCTCCATGACCAATGGCTGCTCTAGGCCTATGGAGTTCAAGTGTCATTAGCCGTGGCTGCAGATAGCCTACAGCAATCAAATCTTGTATCCAAGCAGCTGTGAACTTTACATCTTTCTCAGTCCAAAATCCTTCTTCAGCCATGGCATAACTCAGTTCCAATATCTTTTCGAACAATCTGTGCTTATCTGATTTCCAAGATACCAAAAACTTAGTCAAACGACCCACATTCACATGAAGATCTTTCTCTTCTGCAAATGGGTATGCTTCAATTCTATCATATCTATGTACAGTAGGAGGATAAACGACAACATATCCACCAATTTCCCACAAAATCCTCTGTGCCCAGTAACCTCTTAACACATCAGAAGCCATTGAACTAATAGAAACAGGAAGCATTAAACCCCAAAAGGCCGAATAATGGTGCATTGTATTAAAAGAATTCATGGGTACCATCATTCCTTGAGGAAATGCAACCTTCGGGGCATGCTCATCAAAACGGATATCAAAAGGTTCTAGATTGGGTTTCCTTGTAAAGTAAAAAACTGAATCAACATCAGGTAAGCCATTAGAAATACCCTGTTGGATGAACTGCTTCCCACCAAACACTTCAGTGTAATACTCTTCATGCTCAATTTCACCCACATTCTCTAATGGCAACCCCCTAGGCCAAACGGACCTTTGACCGAAATGAATATAAGGATTCACAACAGTTCTATTCGGGTTCTCATGAGTGTACTGCAGTATAACTTCTTGCCTAGCACTCTCACCCACTAATTCCACATCAAAATGCTTACCAAGATCATCATCAATTACTTCCCCTCTATCATCAGCATCAAATATTTTCTTTGCACCATGTTGGATCGCAAAAAGATATCCAACATTTTTTCTAACATATGAATCATAAGGCAAGAAATCAACAATTCTATACCCTAACTTAGCTTGTTCTTCAAGTGACAAAAAGATAGCACCTTTAAGACTCCAATCGCTCGGAGTCTGCGAGTTCCCCACCGCCAGAACTTGCCATCCTTTGATCTTCAACAGCTTTTTAAACGAATCGGTCGGATAATCAGATACCGAGACAACAATCCACTGCTCTGATCTGAAATTTGAGTACGAGGTAGTCTTATCAGCGATGGATACAATGGAATTGTAGTTGATTTGAGGGAAATGGATGGTTTCCAGTTGCTGCGTTTGTGACTGGAAACAAAGGAGAGCGGCGGAGTCGCCCACGTTACGGAGGAAGAAAAGAGCGGCGACGGTTGCGATTAGGACGCCAATCGTGACAATTTTGTATAGATTTTCGGAGAACCATGTGGAGAAATCGAGGGATTTGGATGGGGAAAATCGATTTGAGCGGAGGGTTGTTGGTAGGGATGATGATTTGGGGTTTTGGGGTTTGGAGTCGCGCTCTTGCTGGACCAACATTGAATCGAATCCAACACCCATACACTCAGTCTCCAAGTCGATTCTGAGTTCAGAATCGAAGTCAGAATTCAGCAAAATCTCTCAGTCTCCAAGATTTGAATTGGAACTGTTTCTCTCTCTCTCTCTAAGAACACAGAGCTCTGTGTGTTTGTGTATATGAACAAAAGTGGAAGGGAAGAAGAGCAGGTGAGCTGGAGTGGTGATGCAGGTTGCAACCGACAGTTGATGTTTGATTTCTTACTTATTCTTCCATATAACTTCAAGTTAACGGCTGCTACTTTGGTGGATTTGGTGACGGTGGGGTCTAATTTTCTCCCACCAACATGTCCAAATCGTACCGGTAACAAATAAAGGTATCCATGTGTTGATAAAAAAAAATTAATGGTTTGTTTTTTTATCTTTTAATAGTTTAATTAAGACGTAATTTTTAAATTGTTAAGAAGTAAATTTTGTTTGGTAAAAAAAATCTTTGAATAATTTTATATCATAGGTCTTTTTTAACCATTCGCTGTCCTAATTTCATTATAAACAATTATCAAACAATTATATTTTATTTTGCACTATATCATAAGAGTCTATTAATTATTCTGACCACTTAATTATTTTATATTAAATTATTCAACAACTGTCAAACATCTATTGAGTAAATTACGGATTTGGTCTATGGTATTTGGGTTTTTACGAAACTATTACTTAAGCTTCATTTATTACGTCATTTACTTGATGGTATGCATTTTCTCTTTTATGATTTTGGTTATTTGTCCTCACGTCTATGCTAAACTGAGGGTATTTTAGTCTTTATGCTTGTTTATTTCATTTTAATTTTTTTTCTTTTCTTTTTGTGTTATTTGCTTCAATCATCAATATCTCAAGAACAATCTTTACCCGATAAATTTTTGATACAAATCCTAAATCAATAATTTAAATCAAATCATAGGAAAAAAAAACATAAATGAAACTCCTAAATAACAAATCTATACTATATTATAAAGTATTTGACAAAAACTCTTAAAAATCATTTTTTATGCGTAAAATACTGTTTAATAATGCATATTACTTAAAACTCAATATTACAAGTAGATTGTGCGTAAGTATAACTTATTAAAACTCCATATCTGAATTCGTGTAACTAACTGTAGATAAAGATAATCAAATATAGGATAAATATATCATTTTAAATTTAAAAAATCTAAAATATAATTATGATAATCATTGAGTTCTAACAGAATACTTAATTATTATCTTTGTAAAATGTAATATTATTAAACCAAAAATAAATTATTTCGTTATTAAACTTAAATTAAATTATAATAAAAAATTACATAAAAATGATAACTTTTAAATAGTTGATTTGATATCAACATTGATATAATTTTTTTCAAATTTTTATGATATATTCAAATTTATATTTTAAAATCATTATTGCTTTCTTAAAAACACATAAAATCGTATTATAACATCGACAGAGACAAATAATATAATATAACATTAAAATCGAGATGTGTCTCGCTGCATTGCACGAGTACTCTTCTAGCATGAAGATGGGAGGTCAAATTTTTCCGGCTAAGAAAAGAAGATGAGGAGGTGGGATCATCGATGACCCCGTTTTCTCCAGTGAACTGTAGATGAATCCCCCTCTGTCATTGAAATATTGTATTTTCCAGTTTAAACAAACCCCAAAAACCTAAATTAGAATTTCTAAATCAAACCTATGTCAAAACCCTAAAACAAACCCTAACTCAACTATAATCTAGAGGAACAAACGTGTTGTAATTCAGGTTTTGGATTACGTGAGTCCTATCGTAAAGAAGAAGAAACTGAGGTTGCTTTCGTAAGAAGAAGAAACCGAAGATGTAGCTTACTAGAAACTCTATTTGTTGTGAAACCGAGGGCTACTAGAAGAAGAAACGATGGGTCCGACGAACAAAAGACATGCATGTTCCTAACATTTTATAGGCCATGGGCGAGATGTAAAAACGGGTCCTCGATATGTATGAAAAATCTTCAATATATTGTCTTTTATTATCATAAATAACATTGAATTCAAGAATTAACAATAATTCATATAAACCCGTTTTTTTTAATATTCCTAGACATAAAATAATCAATAATTACTTTTAAATTAATATTATCTACCATATCATTTTCACATAGCATCTTCAATTTGTTCCACCGTAAGAAAACATAATATGATATACCTTTAATACATAGATTGATTAGATATAGTGATGTGTCCCGCTCCGTTGGGGAACCCTGTTCACCCACTCCGTTCAAGGGCCAAGGGATTTCCTGTAAAAACGGTACCGAGTCTGAGGCTAGGGATCCCCAAAATGTTGAAAACCGGCCTGGGGTCAGGTAATGTATTTCCCTACCCATCCCGTCCCCGTATGGTGTGTGTGTGTATATATCTATATATATATATAGAGAGAGAGAGAGAGAGAGATGACATTTTAAAAGCAACTCATTACATATGTACAACCAATGCAACCCAATTAATTGAGATATTATGAAAATGATGAGAGTTTATTTATTACGATTTGAATATTTATGGAAGACGACTATGACTTATTAATTATGAATCAATACTTTATATTATGAAACAATCAAAACTTTCATAAAATTACATATTCATCAATTAAATAGATGGTTGAGATTAAGTTATACAAATGTAAAAAGGTTGCATAATAACTCACATCTCTCTCTCTATATATATATAGGGCTTAATCAAATGAAAACTGTTTTGTTTATGGTAACCGTAAGATCAAATCACAACCACAAATCAAAGATTAAATTAAAAAATTAATAATTTTGGTAATTTTAACTTAGGGGGTGTTTGGATAGAGATATTAGACAATAATTAATGGGAATGAAAATAAAAGAAACTGTTTGGTTTTATATAATATAATGAACTAATTCTCCCATAAGCCCAAATTTTTATTCCAGGTTAAACTGGGGGGGGGGGAGGAATGAAAAATCATTCCCATTTTCATTCCCAGTTATTTTCATTTTTATTTTCATTTTCATTCCTCTGACAGAACCAAACACCCCCTTAAGATATTAATTAAGGGCATTTTAGAGATTTTATAAATATCATCTGTCATCTCTCATCTTTCCTCTCTCCGGCGAATCTTATTCAGCGAACCTTATTCCGATGAACTTTATGTGAACACAAAATACACAATGTGATACCTGCAAACAATATTCACTGTGATACCCATATATAAATACAAGATGTACAAAACAATGTGTTACCCTTTGTAAAGCAATGAGAATAAAAAAAAATGCACACTATGATACATTTCATAAAACAAAAAAAATACATTGTAATACATGTGAAACATTGTGAATATTATCACTATGATACACTTTGATTCACAAACGTCTTTAAAATACGATGTATATTATGTAATTGATATACTAGGTAACTATTTCTAATTAAATATTTCCTTCTAAAAAATTTAATTAAATATTTTGATTAGTTGTCAAAAATAAAATTAATATATTACTCTTTTAGTTTATTTAAAGAATATCCTTAAATATCTCAAACGAGTGGTTCACATTGAATCTCACGGTTACCACAAACTAATTAGTTATCCCTTCAACGGCCCCTATATATATATATATAACACCCCATACTCCACGTCTGCATTTAACATATATTTCATTTAAAAGAAATATAGATTACATCACATAGGTCCACTAGTACAAGAATTCTCTATGTACAGAATTTACATATAAAAAATTCCAAAAAAATATCCCTATACTATCACATGTATGAGAACATGTATCTTCAAAATATACAGGCAACAGGCTAATCTTCAAAAAAACAGATAACACATAAGGAAAATAATCATATTTTCCTTTTCCTTTTAATATCCCGTGACCCCGCTGTTCCTGCAATACACTTTTTTTAAAATACAAAATGAGGGTTAGACCGGAATGTCTAGTGAATAAATATATTATTTGCAATTATAGATGAAAGATCACCAAAATCTGATAAAAACATCTTTTGCGTATAGATAAACATATTTTAGCAAAAGCATGTAAAATTGTTTGTTACCCAAATTATAATACCAGTAGATTTCTACCATACATAGCACAAATGCATCTTCTTGAAATTCTATATCTCTTTCCAGAACAACCACAAAATCCCTCTGGCTCAACGGCCATAGCTTCTCTGCCCTTGAGTACCAAACCCAATTAACAAATCAAAACTTAACCATTGACCCTCTGAAGGAATAGAGTCTCTGGTCCGAAAGGACCTACCTTAATTTTAAAAGAAAAGATAATAAAAGTATAACCAGAACTCCTCTGGTTCTTTGTTTCTTTTATAAAGATATTTAAAGAGAATTAATTACAAAAGATTTAAATTTTAAAAGACTGAGCTCTGACATAGAGCTCATACACAAAATGCAAATTACCATTTTCACAATGCAGAGCCTCTATATAATACATACAGAGCCTCTGGGTCATAAAATCCCGAAAACACCTGGAAAGCTTTTCCACATGACAAGAAGTCCTATAGTCCTGTTCAAAGACCAACCGGAGTTCATCTGTATCACTCTTAAACTTACTCAAATATGATGAAAACCATTTGAAAATCACAGGCAATTAATGCCTCTGGTTATAAATCGTTTTCCCCTTCTCAATAATATCAATGTTATTATTTCAATAAGAACAATACCTATGAATCATCAAGTCACAACGAAATGTTGATTTAGAATTATTGTATCTGATAGTGATAATAACAAGAGTTATAATATTAACCACATCCGTAATTGTCACCATTATATTCACATGTACATCTCTCCTTGATATGTCATCCTTGTTTCTTCTCCAAAATAGGGTTTCTTACTAGAACAGACTTACATAACCACGCCTGGAAGTACCCAAGACCCAGTTCCATGCCAGAACAAACTTATGTCACCATGTATGGGGGAACTATTTCTTAAAACTAAGTTTCATACCATAACAGACTTATGTCACTACGTCTGGATGAAACATTTTCAAAAGTAGAGTTTTAAACCAGAACAAACTTATGTCACCACGTCTAGAAGAAACATTTCCCAAAACAGAGTTTCAAACCAGAACAGACTTATGTCACTACATCTAGAAGAAAATTTTATATATTTTCCCCATTTACAAAAGACATGATATACCCTTAATAGTAGTATGATTTCACCATTGTTAATCTTGATTGTTCATATATTGTTTTACTGGAATCCACAAGTGTGATAGTAACAAAATCGTTGACGAAATTAGTCACAAAAGAAAATTTCATGATTTCTTTCTCTCGAAACTACGTCGTATTGGAATGTGGTCACGGTCCTGTAACAAAGTGGCCATAACTGCTAACATACGGTTCACCAATCTTACTAACTAGATCTAAAAAATATGAGTTTTGTCAGTATAGAGAGATGTGAATATCTCTATAATACACCAACTTGATCAATATCCAAACCTCAGTGAAAATCATGCAACAACCAATATTTCTATGTAATTATTGAAGATTTTCTCAAACCTCCTTGAATCCCTTAAACCGTATCCTGAATCTGCCCATTTTAGGTTAAAGATCTAATATTAACACATACAAGTGATCGATTTGTCCACATTGAGTTAAAACTTCAACCTAAATAACCAAACTGAAAAGCTAGCAAAAAGCGGTAACACCTAAATTTTACATTTTACCTCTTAGGTTTGGCTTATGCCAAGAGAATACATAGTAGAAAACAAAAAAAAAAAATATACTTAAAAGATAAAGTTCGTCATTGTGGCCACAAATGTCACTACTGTGGTACATAAATATAAATATCTAAGAAAATTAAATACCAGATAAGCCTTAAACTTCTACATTGCTAGAGGTCAAGGTATATCTCAAGATGATTTCCAAGGTTTTAATATACAGGTGAAGAAGGAGAGATTTAGAGACAAGAGAAATGAGAAAGAGACTTGACGAAGTTGTCTTCTTGCTCTTTTTTTTTTCTTGATCTTTCTTGTCTATTTCTCCACCTCTACCATGAAAATTCCAGAGACCCTTATCTGTGCATGCTCCTCATTTCACTGAATTGGACATAAAATCGCTGCAAAATCTTTAAGGCTGTTGTTTGCCAAAATACTGAAATGTGGCCACAGCCCACAGTTATATCCCAAATGACGCATATAATCATTAAAAATACAAATTTTTATCCTCAATAATTTCAAATAAAAATAAATAAATAAAAAAGGGAAAATATGAACGAGAGTTATCAATTATTTACATGTCAAATACACAAGATGTTGGTAAAAACATACCCGTTTAGAAATGAGCATTCATATATGTCATGAAATGCAATTTGAAAAATGTACGGATTTGACATGTGATTTAAAATACAATGATATTTTAATCACTTCAACTTAGAGGTTGTTTACCAAAATTCATGAGTAAGAGTCCGTTTACTAAACGCTTACCCGGTAAGTGTTTACCGGACAATTTTCCTCACCGTATTAACATGACAATGACCAAAAATCTTACCTGGTGAGAACGACGATAAGGATGGAGAGTCTTACCCGATAAGTGAGTGTGACGACTCTTACCTGGGTAAGCGCTTACCGGGTAAATTGTTGCATGAGATACCATTTTGATGTACTAAACTTATTCGATAAAAATAAATTCTAATGTCGATTCCAACTGATAAACACTTACCGAGTAAGCAATTGGGTGAACGGCACCTAAGTGTTGACCATGGTAAAATGTCTGATTTGGATAAGAGATTTGACTCGGGTAAATGTTGACTGATAATTATTGTTTATCAAATATTTTGTATTAGTTGCTGAATGAATAAAAAAAAGACTACTTTACCCTTATATTTATTTGTTACCAAGTAATGCATATCCTATCGTCTCCCCTAATGTTACTAATGGAAAATGGATCAAATGGGCTTCTTTTTATTTTAATAAAGTAATAAATATTTCAAACTTATGATCCATTTACTCAAAAGCTTATCCGGTAATTACTTATTGGTAAGAATCAATACTCTAATTTACTTAACCGAGTAAGGGATTGTTTACCAATTTTTTTGGTTAAGTGCTAATTCGGGTAAGAGGTCTGACTGGATTAAGTGCAAATTGTATTTTCTTGTTTACCAAACATTTTGTGTTAAGTGCTGATCGAGTAAAAAAGACCATTATATCCTTTTTTTTTGAATAAGTATTAATTGAAAATTATTGTATTATTTAAACCCAATTATATTTGAATAAAATTAAAAAAATCTGGCCCATATCAGTCGAGATACATTTAAGCCCAATTATATTAATCAATATGTATTTCTTTTCCACTCAAAACCCTAAGAAACCCTATTTCTCTCAACCTGAAACTTCCCTTATTTTCTCTCCCACCTCCAGACCGGCCGCCGTCGCCGCCCTCCCGTCGCCGCCCTCCCGTCGCCTCCCTCCCGTCACCCTTCAACACCTTGAACCGGACACCAATACTTCCCCACCTTGAATCAGACATGACCCACCTGTTTGTATAAAGAAAGATGCATCTATTTAGGGTTTTAGATGAAGAGGGTAGATTAGGAATACATACCTCTTACCACGGTAAGATTCATTTTTTTTGCCGACTCCAGTAAGAGGACGATCAGAGGTCGAAAATCTGATTGTTGATTTTGCTGTTAGGTAAACACTTTTACCTCTTACCCGGGTAAGCATCTCTTAACGGGTAAGAGGTGGTAAGAGATTAGTAAACAGCCCCTAAGATTGTAGTCCATCAAAACGGTATTGTATGCGATGATTTACCCAGTAAAAACTTATCGAGTAAGAGTCATCAGTCTCACTTACCGGGTAAAACTCTTATCCTTCTCATCGCTCTTATAGGGTAAAATTCTTGACCCTTGCAATATTCATCCTGTAAGATAAATGACTTCGTAAGCACTTACCGGGTAAACATTTAGTAAACAACCCCTTAAATTCCAATGATACCTTCAAAACAATTACAAATATATTATTAAAACACTAAACTAAAAAAATGTGTATTAAGAGGTCGCCTACCCTCTACGACCAGTGTCATTTAGATCGGGTAACTTTTCTTACCTGATGTACATGACAAGAGTTGAAAATCTAAAGCGATTATAGAGACAGAGTCTTTCATGATAAGTGATGGTGAAGACTATTATCCAGGTAAATTATTATATATAATACTATTTTAATATACTACAATTTTATCTTATAAAATAAATTATGGCATTGATTCCTATCGATAAGCATTTATATTTGGTTTTTTAAACTATAAAATGTTTGGAAGGGGACGAGGGAGTCCTGGTCTTGTCATCGCGTTGATAATCAACGCGGACCCTAAATTTCCACCTGCGACCCTCTCTTCCTGCTTCGACTGCAATTCTGCAAGACCAAGATTGAAGCACCAAGAGACCATGGCAATCGGAAAGGAAAAGTTGGAGGTGGTGGAGATAATCAAACCTCGAACCGACAACAGAGATTACAGAAGAGTCATCCTTCCCAACTCTCTTCAAGTTCTCCTCATCAGTGATCCTGACACCGATAAGGTATATCTTTGATTCAATCATACTTATTTATCAGTTTTAGGGATTTTTATTATTGCTGATAACCAATTTATTTGTTTTGATTGAATAACTATTGAGATGAATAATCCATTTTTGTTTTTTGCTTTGGTCAGTGTTCAGCCTCAATGAATGTTGGTGTTGGTTCATTTAGTGATCCTGAAGGTCTCGAAGGCCTCGCCCATTTCCTTGGTACGCATATTTTTCTTCCAGTTCTATTTGACTGTTAATTCTCTTCCCTTATAATTGTATACTCGTTTTATATCGAAATCAAAATCTGTTGAGCATCATAACAGAAGCAACGTTCTAGGATTATGTTATTTCCTTGATCAATATTAATCGTAAGTTCTTCATGATAATTTTGCACATCTGAGTGGCCGAACACATTCCTGATGAGCGACAGTGTAGCTTTAGGTCAAATGGACTAGTGTCAATTTTGGAGCAAAAAGTTGGAACAGATTAATTAATTGGTAACAATAGGTTGACCACTTCAAGTTGCAAACATCTATTGCATCAAGCACTAAATATTTGTAGTTTATTGTTAGTGATCATTTTACATGCATTCATATTCTTTGTGATGCAGAGTCGTTAAATATAATATGTAACTGTTTGTTTACTCGAAGCACCTATATATAGGGAGAAAATGGGTTGTTCTAACTCTCTAGTTCAACACTTTAATTGGTTTGAGTCCTACGTATGGTTTTTTGATTTATGATACAGTTATAACACCTCGCTGATTTCAAAAGCTAGGGATGTCTATACAATTTCAGTTGTAGCACAATTGTTGGTACTCTCTTGAAGCTGAAATCTTAGTCCATCTTAACAGCAATCTCTGAGAATTCAACATGTCCATTTAACCACATGGTTTCAAGTATAATATGTTTTGATATTTGTTAGCTATAATATCCATAGAAGTATCTATATACCCAAATTTAGAGTTTTGAGAACAATTCAAGGCTCACTAGTCATGTGTTCATCTAAAGATACATTTAAGCTCATTATATTTCTTTTTATTATTATAATTGCAGAACACATGCTATTCTATGCAAGTGAGAAGTATCCTTTGGAGGATAGTTATTCTACTTACATATCCGAGGTACTTGATATTGTATATTAGTTTTCTTTCTTTTTGGTACTCAAGTTATTTCATAGAAGATAAGTTATTGGGTCCTTGTTTCTTTCTCCCTTTTGCTTTTGGTTGGAGTTGATTTCAAAGAGCTATTATTGAATCCTATGTAGCTTTGGGGAGTTGCAAGCCTTTCTCACTACCAAAAAGCCAAACCAAACGTACTCGGAACATCCCACTCGGAAGTAGGGTCTAGGGAGGGTAAGATGTAGGCAAAGCATACCTCCACCGTAAGGGGTAGAGATGTTACTTCCATGAACACTCTTGATTTGCAAAACTTTTAGTGACGCTTGAGAGATTTAAAAAAGGTTTTGGAAAGCTTGAGACATTAGAAAAAGTACAAAAAAGTGTGAAAGCAACAACTTTAGAAAGTTTAAGAAGCTTTTGAAGAGATGCCCAGATCCGCCAATAATAGTAGCCTACTAGAGGGATATCTAAAGGGAATGTTAGAACATCCTACCAACCCTAATCCATTGCCTCCAAGAAATCCTATCAAAGGTCATGCCCTTGGAAAGGTCTAACACGTTCCATCCTCCTCACCAATGCCGTCATTTGTCTCCAGAAAACGTGCCCCACCACAATCTATCCCCTCAGCTTTTCCGCGATAGACTAACTCCTAGTTCTGTCCTGTAACCCTTATTTGGTAACCTGTCCAACATGGTCTGATCACGTGTCTACCACATCATATTCATTTATGCAACTTCCATCTTCTTCTCTTGCAACTCCTTTAGCATCTATCTGCATCGTTTGGTTTTGAGGGGAAGGCATCAAAATTATCCAAGTCTTTCTATTCAGAGGTTCTCAAAAGGAAATATCTGCTAAGGTTAAAGTCTATTTTTGTTAGTTATCTACTTGTGATTTATCATGGTATCAGAGTCACAAGGTCCTTGATAAAGCCATTAACGACTCAAGTTTGCAAATCCTGGCTGCTACTGTACCATCTCGTGTAAACCCTAGCTACCACCCTTGTACAAAACCCTAGCCTTATCGCTGTTACCTCGTAGTTAGCTATATGTTTTAACTTCAAAAGGAAAAAAATGAAACTTTTTTGAACTGTTTTACCAATTTACCCTTTGACTAACATTCTTTAACTTGCACCAAGGAACAATTTTCTTGAAATTAGGGATTTTCTGTGTTGAAAGAAGTCAAGTGAAGAATCTGCAGATTGAGCAGTAATCGAGGATAATTTATGTAATCCACTCTAGATAATAAATAATGTATCCAAACTGATTGTTATTGGTGCATGGGGGTGTTCAAAAAGACCGTGCGACCGAGAAACTGATCTGAAATTGTTTGATCCATAACCGAAAACCTAAAAAACTGGATATTCACAGGTTGCTTTCGTTTCTGAATTACAAGTACATGCGGGTACCCCACCGGCCGACCGCAACCGGATATAATATATAATATTTTATATTAAATATTTATATTATTATTTATATTTTTTAACCTAAAGCTAAAAGAGTAAAAGTCTTTTACCTTTTGGTGGTATGAAGTTGTGAAGGTGTCGACATCAACCGAAGAGTGGATGTTTAAACAACTAAACTTATTTTAATTTGTAGCACTTGAATTATTTTTATTTAGTTGTTGTGTAATTGGTTTAAATGTTCTAGTTTAGTATTATTTTATTTTGCAATTTATATTTTTTTTATAAATTCTGGTAACCGTGAACCAAACCGCTGGTAACCACCTTATTTCGGTTCGGTTCAACTCGGTTTCGGTTTGGGTACCCAGGTATCTGCCTCATGCAGTTCGGTTTACATTTTCCCTATTAACTGAACCAAAACGAACCATGAACATACCTATTGGTGCAAGACTCTCCAATGCTACAATTTTGTCATGATAAAAATGGCTTCACTACGGGTATATTTACAAATATATATGATACTCTTGAAGATACAGTCTTCATGAAGGTGATTTAATGGATAGTGTTTGAGAGGAACATTTGAAGAAGTTAATGAGTAATGGGTTTGACAGAAGTAGAAAGATTAATGCTTGTTCAAGTGGATGCATCACAAAGCTGCATATAATATTATGTTCTTGTCTAGCTTGTTATCAGATCCCACATTTACATTTACTCAAATATATCTTACAAACTTATAGCATGGAGGTCGTACGAACGCCTATACATCTTCTGAGCACACCAACTATTACTTTGATGTTAATGCTGATTGTTTTGAAGAGGCTCTGGATAGGTACATCTCATTCTTTTTTGACAATTTGTTACTACTTTGTTGCAGTTCCCATTTTGTTCTTGTGGAATTGTAGCAATAATGCCTTTTCTTGTATAGATTTGCACAGTTCTTTATCAAACCACTGATGTCATCTGATGCGACTACGAGGGAAATAAAAGCTGTCGACTCTGGTTTGCATCGATTTAATGAGTTGGGTGTTCGATTACTGCATACTTTCTTTGATGATGTTTCAGTCACACTCTCCTACTCTTTTTCATACAGAGAATCAGAAGAATTTACTCTCTGATGCATGGAGAATAAACCAGGTAATGTTGATTCCACATATCAATGGCTCAATGTTATGGCATAAGTTATTAGATGGAAGTATCAGTATGTGAGTTCTCTCAAGATTGCTCTCTGTATATGTGTTTGTGAAGTAACTTACTGGTTGTCATATACATCACACCATTCATAATATTGTACCAGATATTTAGCTTATGTTCTTCCATTTTATATCATTTATCTAAATTCAATATTTGTATGTTTATCCTTCATTTCCGCTATCATTTTGATGGCATTTGTGTTATTATATCCTGGTTCATTTGTCTTTATTTGTACTTGTTTCTTTTAATAGAAAGCTTGAATTTTTCCTACATCTTACTGTTCAATACATTCCACAGCGAAAGATTGCTTCCTATTCCAATAGTCTTATAATGTGAAGAGCATTCCGAAGTTCTAACTCCCATCTTTGCTTAACCATACTTTGCAGCTGCAAAAACATCTTAGTGCAGAAGGTCATCCATACCACAAATTCAGTACAGGTTAGCCTTTTAGGTTCATTCTTTACTACATTTTGACATATTGTAATAAAAAATAATTTGAAAGTACGCTACTGTAATAAGGAAAAATGAAAGTACAATGCTCTAATAAGTAAATTTATAAAAGTAGGTTGCTATTTCGCACAAAATTTCCATTTTGAATATTATAAGAGGATGAGATGGTTGTGAATATGAGTGATATGAACTTAAATGTCAATTTTGCATGCCATTCATCATGAATATGCTATTTTCATCATGAATATTAATATGCTATTCAACATGAATATGATATATAGTATACATAATTATGCTATTCATCATGGATATCTTATTTCGATTATGTTATTCATTATGAATATGCAATTTTAAATATATTATTCATCATAAATATGAATACGCTATGTATCATGACTATGATGTTTCATCATTATCTCAGAGCAGAGAGTGCTCCTCGGGTGAGGACATGATTATGTTATTCGTATACTGATTATGCTATTCATAAGCATGTTATTCTGATTATGCTATTCATATGCATGTTATTCTGATTATGCTATTCAATCATGAATATGATATTCAGAATATGTTTTTCTAAATATGTTGTTCTTCACGAATATGATGATATTTATCACGAATGAACATCAGTTCATGTATAAACCAGTTACAAAACTGGAAAAAGATATCGATATCGTTCTCAAAATGAAGAAAGAAAATGCTCATTTTTATATAATATGTTTGATCAACATATTAATTATGTTTATGATAATTTTGATTTGTTAACCATTTATTGTTCATAGATTCTTACTCTAAAATATGGTGATCGTTGGCTTCCTACAACATCATAAATTGACACCATCATCTATTGGACTTTCAGTTTGGGTCCAGTACTATATGTTGTCCGATTTAAAATTTCATCACAGCGTTGTCATCGTCCTTGTTCCCCAAGTCAAAATACACAGCTCATTTAGCCTCAAGCCCTATTGATAAAGTACAGATCGTAACATACATCGATATTTCGTCAATCGACGTGTTAATCCATGGAACTTCTAGCCCCAATATCGGGCTGTTACACCCTCCTCACCTCCTCGACCATTATACTCTCCACCCTCCTCACTGATGCCGATATCTTTCTCCTACAACATGGCCTTCACTGATTTATAGAAATAAGCATTATCTTCATATTCTACAGAATAAATGAGCTCTATTAGGTTTTGAGAGGAGCTCTAGCTTTTGACCAATTCAGAACATAGTCGAACCTTCTGACTCAACCTTCCAACCTTCCTGGACGGTGCGAATGAAGTCTTGCTTGAAGGTGGTGAAAATTTGAAGAAATTTGGGTTGGCTCGAATTCCTGTAGGGAACACTAACATCGCTGGACAATCATCAGAAATACCAAAAGATTTGAGATCTGCAAAGGCCAATGGACAGGAGAGCATAATCGCTTGGCTTATCATTATTATATCAAGTCTTAAATATCACATTTGCCCATAATATGTCTTATACAAGAAACCAACATATTAAAATATGATACAACTTGCAATGAATCTCTAAAGCACATTAAATCTTCAATGTTAACTTATTAAGAACTTCACAATCTTCTTGAATTTATCTTTAACTCATCTGTTAACACTATGATATAATGAGTCCCTATACCCTCAGTACAAGTACAACACTAGAAAATATGGTATGGCTCAGCATTCAAATAAAGTAAGCATGTGGTTAAGCGGTTATAAAAACTCAGGGAAAACATGCTGGAAACGATGATTATTCGACGTAGGCATCACATTCTACATACTACACAATGTTGAGTCATACTTGTCCCACATTTGACATTTAATGAACTTCAAGAAGGCTAGCATACTCCTGCATTAGGAACAGGTTCATCCCATTACATTGCAAGGAATGACCATCAAGGGGAAACTACAGGCCTGAAACAGTTTGCCTGGATAATACACCACACGAAGCGCATAGACAATAACCACAAGAAACCTATGAGCAGGGCTACAAAGCTATATCCCAAGTATCCTCAAATGTGGCATGCTATCTCATGCCACCTCAAATGTGCATGCTTGTGGACCTGCTTAGGCAACTAACACTGCTGAGGAATTTGGAACCATTATGGCTGGGGTCACAGCTCACATAATGGATATTTGCATATAGTGATGCAATTTTTTAATCTTTATGAACACGTGATTGAATGAAGTAAAAATATCCACTTTTAATCTGTTACCAAGAATTTTGAAGCAGGTAGTGGTGATGAACTCTTCTTTTTTACAAGTTTCTCTTATACTTTCATAAGAGTGATTGAAACACGGGTGAATTTTAGGGAAGACAGGTGGAGCTTATATTATGTCATCATACAAAGTTCTTCTCCTATTTGGAAAGAAACTTTATACCTTTTTCCTTGAGTTTTAAGTATTATGTTGGAACATCTATCACAAATTTAGGTTTCTGAAACTGCTGACTACCAGTCATTTGTATTTCATCCCATGTATAGGGAACTGGGATACACTTGAGGTAAGGCCAAAGGCAAGAGGGGTAGATACAAGGGATGAACTCCTCATATTCTACAAAGAAAATTACTCGGCCAACCTCATGAATCTAGTTGTTTATGCTAAAGGTATGCAAGTGTCAGGTTTTAACAGCCTTAATAAAGTGATTCGTCAGCTTAATCTGTTAATGTATTGTGTTTAATATTTATATCTTCAGAAAGCCTGGATAAAATTGAAAGCAGGGTACTGAGTAAATTCAAAGAAATAAGGAACATTGACCGCATTCATCCCAGTTTCCCTGGTCAGCCATGCACCTCTGAACATCTTCAGGTATTTACAGAAGTGCTATATTTGTTATTCCTAGTTTTGTTAATCTTGTTGTATGACAGCCCTCCTTCCTCCCCTTATCTAAGTGTATTAATGACAATTAAAATATGATTACATGTGAGTATAGTGTTGTGATTCATTCTAAACATTTGTGCTTGTCGTGTCGTCATAAGAAACAACCCTTTAAGACTTGCATGACCCGTACCAAATTGAAATTGGCCATGGAAGCACATGCAAAAAATATTTGTCTATGAATTTTACCTGCTTTGTAGGTTGACTATTAGACTCTGTAATTTATATACTGTTTTTTTTTCTCTGGAGAGGGTTATGATGCCACTCTTATACTTTTGATGCTGATCAAGGCTAAAAGAATTTCTATCAACTTATTAACACATTATTTTCAATTTTTGTTCCCAAATCTTAGAGGTTTGGGTGCTTCAAGGGACATTTTCGAAAATATTAAGATTTAAGGAATAATGGGTGAGTTTCTCATGATGGCCCTGGCAATGAAGATTTTGTGCAATTGTTCTACTGTTACCATATATTGCAGCATGAGGAATTGGTCTGGGGTTGAGGGGCAAGGCTGGGGTCGTAGTAATTATTTCTGATTTGGGATGGACAGATGGAGTTGAGTCCTTGAAACTTCTTTCTATATCATTTATCTCATGAAAATGTTTAAGGAATTATATATGATATTGGGATCAATGTTTCCTTCCTGTCTTTTTGCATTTGTTTCTCAGATAATTGTGAAAACTGTCCCTATAAAACGTGGTCACAAGCTGAGAATTACATGGCCAATTACTCCTGGTATTCATCATTACATGGAAGGACCGAGCAGGTATCTTGGTCACTTGATTGGTCATGAAGGAGAAGGATCGCTTTTCTATATCTTGAAGAAGTTGGGTGGGTTTTCGGCATTTTTAAAAGCTTTCGTGACTTCTTTTCATTTCTTTTGTGTGTATATGCTTTTGTTACGTTTCAAGGTACTAGTATGTGTTGTACAGTTATCAACTTCTTATTGTAGCTTGAATTTCACTCCTTTGTGGATAATTGAAACTTATACATGTCTTTGCTTTGTCATTGTGTGTCGCCAGAGATTCGATCGTGGTTTACAATTATAGCTTTCATACCTGTTTATTTTTTCAACTCCAGAAAAAAGAATCCAGTCAAAATCTTTTTTCTTACATAAAACCATTCATATATCGTATATGCGGGTGTCTAGATAACAATCATGAATGATTCGTTATGAAACGTTGTAAATAAAAATTTGATTCCTAAATAATCTAATAGCCTTTACTGCACAATTATATGCCTGTAAAGTGTGATCAAATGAAGCAAATTGTTATATCAAACATTGAAATTTATAATAATTAAAGTAATTACTCCCTCCGTGCTAAAAAATTTAGCACTTCCTATTTTTGGTCGTCCCAAAAAATGGAACATTTTCTATGATTCCACTTCAAACTTTACCAATCTGCTTATTATCAACCAGTACAAGATGTTGGTGAGATTGATTTTTGTCCACAAACTTTTTCAAGGATTGTGTTATTAAGGGGCATTTTAGGTTTTTTGTTATTAGTCAAAAACTCTCATTATAATGTGCATCAGGTCAAACTTTGCCTTTTCTTGTGGGATGGAGGGAGTATTATTTATTTTCACCGGTGGTCTTGCTCACCATTTGGTACAACCATTGAATAGTCTGTACATGTGTTCAAAGTGCTGGGCAAACATCAAATAGTATGTAAAAAGATTTCTGATGAGAATGTCAAATAGGGTTGCTGAGTGATAGAAATGCCAGGGGCATGATTCCAAAACTTTGGTTCAGCAATTAGCACAATGAATATAGTTCTGCTGAAGAGGATGTATGGTTGGGATGGACCTAGCTGTGCTCAAGGGCTATCCTCTTGCCTTAGGAATCCCTCTTAAAAATTTGAAATGTGGAAAAACTTCAGGCTTTCAAGTCTTCTGTGAAGATGCATCATTTGGTTTAGCCACAATGACATTGACGACAAGGTTTCTCTCTATTTCTAGTAAAGCCAAAACTTCTCTATTTGGATTCAATTTGTAATGATAGTTTATTTCGATGTCACATGATCTCTCTTGGTGGCTCTTTGTTGAGAAAAAAATAGTGTTCGAATATCTTGGATGATTTCATGTTGGACGACTCTGCCATTTGAATTGAAGCCTTCTATTGCTGTGGTCCAATACTTATACTCATGCCTCATCCTGAATGCTTTTATTTCCAAAATTAAAATGACATGTTTTTGCTTAGTGTCATGATGTGGTAAAACATGTTCTATAACAACAAAATGTGGTTTTGTTCTCCATGACAATCCAATTTTCTTTTGACTGGTATGTTGAATTATGTTATTATTTGCATTTGGTTAATTTGCATGGCTTCCCTTTGTTAAAATAGCCCCTCTTCCAATTTGGTTCCTGAGTGAGTAGTTACACGAAACTGGTTGCAGGTTGGGCTACAAGTTTATCTGCTGGTGAATCAGATTGGACTGTTGAGTTCTCTTTCTTTAAAGTGGTTATTGACTTGAGTGATGCTGGTCATGGTTAGTGTTTCTAGTCCTTTGTGCATGTGTCTGTCCATGTTCATTCTTTCATTCATCTTAACCATAAAAAAGAGGATAACCATGTTCCTACTCCAATAGCTTGTCTGTTGAGATATTGGTTATAATTTCTTATGTGTTAATTAGATCCTGACGTCATTTGTAATATTTGTTTCATGAAACGCATGGTGGACCTATCTGGTGTTTCTTCCTGAAAACAATAGCAAATGTTGAACATATCATTGGGCTCCTTTTCAAATACATTTCGCTCTTGCAACAATCTGGTGTTTGCAAGTGGATCTTTGATGAGGTACACGTGAGGCTTTGTGTTTGTGTATTTGTGTGTATTTTACCCCTTTATGAGCTGCTTAAGGGTGAACGCCTGCAATAATTATTATTATTTGAGGTATTTAGATTTGCAAACTGCCATTTATCATTGCTTCCAATAATAATTTATCTGATGTAAACTGCAGCCTTCTGTCCCTGTCCCTTCCTCTCTCTCTCTCTCTTTCTCTCTCTCTCTCTCTATATATATATATGTGTGTGTGTGTGTGTATAAATTTCTGTGTCCATTTTATTATACTTGGTGGTTACACGAAAATCTTGATCCCTTTAGCTGTATGTCCACTGATAGACCAACCTACTTTATCTGGCTGTTATGACTCATCATTTGTGCTTATCCGCTTGCAAGGATTTTTTTTTGATTTTTCTTCAAAGGAAAAATGAGGTGAAACCACTTAGTCCCTGCGTATGCAAAAGAGAATCCCATTAAAATATCCTTAATATATGGTTCTGCTTTGGCATCCTGAAGAAAGATGGGAAGTAGAATCAAACTTCTGTCCTGGAAAGGATGGATAATCAACTGGAAGTTATGGGAGTCAAGCCTGGATATAGCTTTTTGACAAAATTGATCATTTCTTATCATCCAACATCAATTTGAGGGGGATATCAAAGAGAGAGATCATGAAGATTAGTTGAATAAGATTATGAAAGTTATTCATTACTATATCTAGTGTAATAATTGTATATATATTCTTAGTTGCTTATTTGGAATAGATTAGTTGTATATTCTTAGTTGTTATTAGGAAATATGTTAGCCGTATATTTACTTTCAAAAATACATTGAAACATAACTTATTCTGCAAGTGAAAGGATTCTCAAGAAGAGGATATGCAATCATAGGATTGTTAATACTTCCAGGCCCTCTTTTAACTCCATAATTTTCCCCGAGTATTTGACTGGCTGCAGAACAGCTGGGACATTTTAAAACATTGAGCCTTATCAATAAGAATATTACTTGAGGTGTCGAACGAGACATATTGCAACTTTTTAAGTCGCAAAAAATACATGGCTTAAAACATGGTACCTAGACATGGAATGAAATATACCAAGATCCATGCATACTTTTCTGTTTTGCTGTATTGCTTTTTAACAGATTTAGGACTTCTGCTGTGTTTCTTATTCATTCTTGACAGAGAAGCATATGATATAAATACACAAGGCCAAGGGAAAGAAAAGGAAACTATTCTATGAATCCCTGATTTTATGGGATTGCTTACGATCACTAATATGGGATTATAATCGGCTCCCATTACTTCTACATTAAATACATAATCATTTACATTTTTACATTTTCCCACACTCCCCCTCAAGCTGGTGACTGGAAATTTCCCATTCCTAGCTTGGATAAAATTCTCTCGAACATCGGTCTACTTAGGCCTTTGGTGAAAACATCTGCTAGTTGTTCATGAGTAGGCACGAATGGAGTACACATTAAGCCACTGTCTAGCTTCTCCTTGACAAAATGTCTGTCAACTTCAACATGCTTTGTTCGATCATGCTGAATTGGATTGTGAGCTATGTTTATTGTTGACTTATTGTCACAATAAAGCTTCATTGGTGCCTCCCACTTGATCCTTAGATCTTTTAGGATGATTTTTAGCCACAATAGTTAGCATATACCATGTGCCACTGCCCGAAATTCGGTTTCAGCACTAGATCGTGCTACCATGCTGAGCTTCTTGCTTCTCCATGTCACAAGATTTCCTCCGAGAAACGTGCAATACCCTGTTATCGATCTATTGTCAACTGATGACGTAACATAGCTTGCATCGGTGTATGCTTCAAGAGTTACACGGTTATTTCTTTCAAACAGGATTCCCTTTCTCGGTGCTCCTTTGAGATACTGTAAAATTCGGTGTGCGGCTCGTAATGGGTTTCCTTTGGATTATGCATGAACTGACTGACCATGCTTACATCATAAGCTATATCAGGTCTGGTATGAGACAAATATATAAGTTTCCCCACAAGCCGTTGATACATTTCTTTGTTCACAATTGCATCTTCTTCTGTATTTCCCGGTCTATGATTCGGGTATATAGGAGTACTACCAGGTTTGCATGCACCTTGACCTGTTTCCATGAGCAAATGTATAACATACTTCTGTTGGGATATAAAAATTCTCTTTCTTGAATGAGCAACTTCAATTCCAAGGAAATACTTGAGTCTTCCTAAGTCTTGATCTCAAATTCTTTGGCTAGACATAGGCTCACGACTTGTTGCGCTTCTTTATCATCTCCTGTTACAATGATATCATCCACATAAACCAGTAGCTTTGCTATTTTTCTTGTTTTTGAGTGCTTGATGAACAGAGTGTGATCTCCTTGATTTTGTTTATATCCCAAAATTAACATAGCCTTGGTAAATCTCCCAAACCATGCTCGAGGAGATTGTTTTAAGCCGTATAGTGCCTTTTTTAACTTACACACCGTATTGGGTTATGTTCCTTTTCCATAACCAGGTGGAACATCCATATAGATCCCCTCCTCAAGTTCTCCGTGCAAGCATGCATTTTTTACATCAAATTGATGCAAATCCCAATCAAGATTAGCAGCTAGGGATAGAATTACCCTAACTGTATTCATTTTTGCTACAGGTGCGAATGTCTCAAAGTAATCAATGCCAAAAGTCTGCATATATCCCTTACCAGTCTTGCTTTATACCTCTCAATTGACCCATCCGTGTTGTATTTTACTGTATAAACCCATTTGCATCCTACTGGCCTTTTTCCTTCCGGCAATTTAACCAACTCCCAAGTTTTATTCTCTTCAAGTACTTCCATTTCTGCATTCACGGCTTGCTTCCAATTTTCATTAGATAATGCCTCAAATAAATCTGTAGGAATGGAAATGGAGTTAGAGGTTGACCTGAAATGTTTTGTAGGTGGGAGAGAATGTTTGGAAAGAGGTGTAGCATGATAAGGATACAATGGTTTTTTTGTGCATTCTCTTGTTCTCTTTCTAACGACAATAGGCAGAGATCGGTCACTTGTTTGAGATTCAGTTACGCTTTGCAAGGGTGTAGAGTCGGAAATTGTTACCTCGTTTGAAGGACCAATATCAAATTCTCGGACTTGCTCAGGTCCAAGAATGTTCTTCTTTTGTCTTGAGTATACAAGGTTCTTCACGATCTGGTGGAATTGTTTCAGAGTTATGACTTATGAGTGACAGGAGTACTTGGGGAGTGTTCAAGCTTAGGGATAGGAGTGGAATGAGATTGGGATGGAATAGGCTCCCGAGCTGGTGAAACTATTTCGGGATCGTGGATAATAGGAGTATCTGGGGAGTGCTCAGGGATAGAAGTGGAAGCTAATATAGATAAGTCAAGTAAAAGATCTTCCAGGCTACCTTTATCTTCCTTTCGATCCTCCCCCTGAAAATAAGGTTGGGTGAAGTAGGGATTGTTTTCGCTAAAGGTTACATCCCTTGACACAAAGAACTTTCTAGATGGGGGGTGGTAACATTTGTTTCCTTTCTGGGTTGAGGAATATCCCAAAAAACACACTTTAGAGCCTGAGGATCAAGTCTGTTTCTATCTTGGCTATGGACGTGAACAAATGAAATACCTCCAAGAATACGGGGTACAAGATTGTTGGAAGTGGACACATTTGGGTAAAAGGAAGAAAGTACATCCATAGGACTTTTGAATCCTAGAACTCGGGTAGGGAGTTTATTTATAAGATAAGTTGTTGTGAACGATGCTTCTCCCCAAAAATGTTTTGGAATGTTATTTTGAAATAATAATGCTTTGGTTTGATCTTATAAATGCCCATTTTTCCTCTCCGCCACTCCGTTCTGTTGAGGTGTTTTAACACATGAAGATTCTTGAATTATTCCCTCTTTTGAAAATAGGACGTGAGAGTTTGATTGAATAAGTCTCGAGCATTATCGGATCTTATTTTTTGAACTTTTACTCCAAATTGATTTTTTATCATCAAAATGAAATTAGGGAGAATAGTGCTAGCATTAGACTTATGTTTTAATAAGAACACCCAAGTAACCTGTGTACAATCATCAATGAAGGTCACGAACCATCTTGAACCGACACATTGGAAATATTAGATGGACCCCAAATATCAGTGTGAATAAGATAAAAAGGAGAGTTGCTTCTTTTATCACTAATAGGAAAAGGGATACGCTTGTGTTTAGCAAGCTCACATACCTCACAATGAAGACTTTCAACATCGATTGTTTTAAACAAATAAGGAAAAATAACTTTAATAATCCTAAATGAGGGATGACCTAAACGACAATGATGAAGTATGATTTTTTCTTTATTGGAAAGAATAGATTCTGATACGAGAGTGAGATAATTTGTACTTTTTGGCATCTCAAGACAATATAGGTCATCCTTTTCCTTAGCATGTCTTATCGTTTTCTCCGAATCCTTTTCCTGTACCAAACAATATTCGTCATAAAATACCTCTTGACAAGGTAAATCTCATGCTAGTTTCTTTACGAAAATCAAATTAGTGGACAATTTTGGGATGTAAAGAACATTTTTTAAAAGAATGGATGAGCTGAGTTGGATATCTCCTATACCGGCTACAGTGGTTTGAGTTCCATTAGCAGTGACAATTTTCTTGTTACTTGGACAAGGTGAGTATGTGGAGAAGTGTTTGGAAGAGTGAGTCATATGGTCAGTTGCTCCCGAATCAATGATCCAGGAGTATTTTAGGGTTGTACGTGAGACATTAAATCCAATTGAAAAAGGATGCTCAACTGAATAGGTTAAAAAACAAGTACCTAGGAATGAGTATCACCACAAGAAGGTTTTTCCATTGTGCTGAAAAATGACCTGAGCTTTTCCACTTCCTCTTGATTAAGGTTTGCTGGCTCTTGTTTGACTTTTGGGGTTGGGTCGATTGCGACATGGGCTTGTCCTTTTTCTCTAGCCGTTGCACTTTTCTGGCCCCACTCTTGGCTTGGAGGTTTAGCATGTAACTTTCAACATTTCTCCTTGGTGTAACGTGCCTTTTTGCAATAAGTGCACCATAACCCATCTCGATTTTGAGTCCCGAGTTGATCACCTTTCCCAGATCCCAATTCGTAGTTGGTTCTGTTTTCCCTCCTTATCTTGACATTTTTGGCCACCATTGCCGAGCCATTCATTGGAGGGGTCTCAAGCATTAAGGTTCTCCTGCTCTCCTCATTCTTGAGAGAGAAGCATCCAATATAAATACACAAGATAAAGGGAAAGAAAAGGGAACTATTCTATGAATCCCTGATTTTATGGGATTGCCTACAATCACTAATATTATGGGATTATGATCGGTTCCCATTACTCCTACATTAAATACATAATCATTTACATTTCCACAATATTTATCCGAGATAATCTTTACATTAAATACATAATCTTTCTGCATACAGTTTAATAATAGATTAAGGTCCAAGTGTCTTTATAGCTTAGACTTAGCATGATATGTTAGCTTCCAGGCTGTTTGAATAATCGGTGGATGAAATGAGTCATGGCCATATTTCTATTTCCATGTTTAGTTGCATTAGCTTGAGTCAACCTTGCAAACGAAGTTGACGCTATCATTTGGTAGAGATGACTATAAGTATTTGATATAGAAATTTCGTTTTGGATGTATGCATGAATAACTCTGAGAACCATTAACTGAATGTAATGTAAAAGAACAAAATCATATCGAACATACAAGAATCCCCTACATGTAGTTGCATGGCGTGCAACTTTAGGCAAGGAGAGGATAACTTAAACCATGCAACTTGCACAGTTGTAGTATTACAAGCAGTAAGCCAATAAGAACCCCTAAATGAGATAGAAGGGCACTGATCACTTCAGTGCGTTGTTTTAGGCGAAATTCTTGGGAGAGATCTAGCCTCTCGAAAGTAAAGAACATCTTGTAATCATCTTATTTTATTTGAAATTATGCATTTGGATCATTGATGCATACCGGTGTTCCAAATGCGTAATATATAATAAAACGGGATGATTACAAGATGTTCTCAGCTCTCAAGAGGCCGAGATCTCTCTCTAGGCTCTTGCAAAACTACAAAATAATGAAATTGATCAATCCCTTTCCCCCCTTCGTCCCATTATTTATACTACTTATGCAAGTAATTGACTATCCAATCCAATCTACCAACTTTGACCCGTTGACCTCCAGCACTACCTAGGGTATAACGGGTTCCCTTTTTCACTCGTATACTTGACGATGCTTTCATTATGTTTGGTAACATGTAACAGTAAAAACCTTTCACTTGTATGATGGTACACCTGCAAAGTATAAAGTGTAAGTTATATTCAGCCACACCACTCTTGGGCATCATCTTGGGAATTCATCCCAAGAATCACATGTACACTACTCGCATATTCATGATCTTTGCCGTGCTTACAGGATATTATTAGCACATACCTTCAGAATTCTAGATGGCATGTACTCTAATGCTTCCTACATTGGTTTGTTCTAATTTTCTTCGGTTGTCATGTTATGCTGCATGTTTCTTCAAATTGTAGGTGACTGCTCTGTTAGTTCATATAGTTGTTTATTTGTCTAATTTTGTTTCGGTTATCATTTTTTATTGCATGAATTTTCAACTTACTAACAATTCAGTTTTGATATGATACATAAAGCTTTCAGCAATTTGCGAGATGGTTTTTCATTACCAGGACAAGATTCCTCCAATTGATTATGTGGTGAAAATTGCATCAAATATGCAGGTATTTTGCACCTTTTGTAGCATGTTGTTAATTTAGGATCCGTGAATTTTCATTATGATGGTTATTTCTTTGAAACTGTTTGTGGTTGATGGTTATTGATTTCCAATTACATATAATTACTATGCAGTATTTTGTCCCAAACTGATTGGTGTAGAATAAACATAAACCCAATCGTAAATTAAAGATGAGTGAGGTGTGCGAAGTTAAAATTAAACATGAACCAATGTTGTGCAATTTCAGTAGGGAGCGTATTTGCGAGGGGGCACACTTTGGGTTTTTTTTGTGGGGGGGGGGGGTTGCCCTAAAAGGACAACCTTGATTATCGAGGCTCCATAATTCAAATGGAGGGAGAAGGAGAGGATAACATAATTCATCGCATAAAGACAAGCTGGCAGAAGTGGAGGGCCACCACAAGGGTGTTGTGTGACAAAGTCTCGCTAAAACTGAATGGAGAATTCTACAAGGCAGCCATCATCCTAGCTATGTTGTATGGTCCGGAATGTTGGGCGACACGAAGGCTATTGAGAAGAAGTTGGAAGTTGTAGAAACGAGGATGCTTAGGTGGACTCATGGTTGAACCATCTTGAACACAAGGTTTTAAAGTAAGAAAAATCAAGCGGAGGCGTTTTCCCTTGATGAGGCGAGGCGTAAGCCCTGAAGCAATAAACAAATAAAATTCAAGATAATTCATATCATGCAAAACATTATCTAATATCAAACTATTAAAAGTCACTGTAAGTTCATAAAAATATTAAAAATGTGAATTCATTGATTTCACATTTCATAATTTCATGAAATACGATCAAATTCCATTGCTCCACTTTCATAGGAGTAATCTCGATCATCTTCGTCTCCCAAATCCACTTGAATACTTTTCTTCTTCCTTGATGACGAGCTTCAGCTTGCATCCTCAACTTTATTGTCACCTTTTAATTGGTGCATTGTCTATATCATCATCTTCGTACATCATTCGGGTTTGCAACCATGGCTTATCTTCAACAATCGAAGGATCATCTTCTTTTAGTGATTGTTTCGTCATGAATCTATGCTTCAACCTCTTAGGGTGCGTTTGGTTTGCGGGATTGGAATGGAATTGGGGGGATTTGGATTTGAAATCCATTCCATTCCAGTGTTTGGTTTGCTGGATTGTGAGAAATTGAAATCCATCGCTTCCTTTGAAATCCCATGAACAATGGATTTAAGAATCCTTCCCATATACCTGGGATTTTAGAATCCATTCCTTTTTGCCCTAACCTACCCATCGGCATCTTCTCCTCCATCGCATCGCTCACCTCCGTCGCTCTCTCCCGGTCGTCTCCATCGCCGTCGCTTCCCCCTCGATCGTCTCTGTCGCCGTCGCTCCCCCCCC